TGGGTAAGTGCATTGGTGAGTTAGTGACATTGAGCAAGTGGGCAAGCGAGTGCTTGAATATGTGAGTGAGTGAGTGCATGAGTAAATGTCTTGGTGGCTAAAGTGAGTTTTTGGGGGATTCGGTAGGGCGAGTGAGGGAGTGGGTTGGTAGGTGATTTGATACATGTACACGCGCGTTTGAGTGTGAATTTCCACCTAACAGATGAAACCTCGATCCAAGGGGTTTGTGTAATGCTTTGGAATGTCACACGAGAGCAGAATCTTAAACCCAGCATCATAACTGGAATCCCACTCAAGCTCAACAAAACATCCGGCCAGGTCAAACTCCCACTGGTGCAACTAATTCCTTTGACCTGCCACAGAATCGTAGCGAGTCAAATGTTTAAGAGCAGCGATATTTAAGACTGAAACAGAAGGATTTTGCAACAACTCTGTTTGCCACCTGATGATGCTGGTTGTAATTACTGGTGGAACAACTTACTCGAATCGTAAATGTTGTGGGTTTACTCTCCAACACACCAGTGTGCTACACTGGTAACGAATTGGCATGTTCTGTTTATGTGACACACCTTACTAATCGGCTGTGTCGGGTGGTGGCCGCTTTAACGATAAAATGTGTTCATCTCAAACAGATGCGTCCAATGGAAACGTACTAAAAGCAGATGAACAAATGACATCGCTCGCGCGTTGTGTCACGTTTGCGACAGATATTGCCCAATGGCAGTTTGGCTAAACGGCCGCAGTTCTGGAAGAGTAAGTTTGAACTCGAAGCCTCTCGTCGGCGAGCTCTGTCAGACGAACGGAATAATAATTGGCGGCCTTGTCGGCTGGGCCTTTCAATTGCGTTCACGTCAAACATCCTGGGGCCCCGCTCTCGGCAAATGCGATCACGTTTAGTTGTGGCTCGTGACAGATTCGCAGTGACAACACCGGGAAAACTTGGCCGGGTATAATTTCGACTCTCCTCCCCCCCCCCACCCACCCACCACCACCGCCTCTCAAATGCAGACAACAACAGAGAGCAGCCTGCACATTTGCGTGCTAAAGTTTCGTTGCAATCTATGGCGGCCTGTAAATTGTTGGTGATGACTGTTTTTTTCTTTCTCTCTCATCAAATTAAGCCGTTCGGAACTCGTTTGCTAGCTGACACAGTTAACTCTCGTCACATCGAATCAAATTAAATTAAAATAATGATTATTTTTGTTGTGGCCAAAGGCAAGGTTTATAAGGGGAAGAAGAAAAAACAGATTCCAGTTGTTTTTGATTATGAGAATAGCTGCTGAATTATAATTTGCAAATACACTTAAATGAATCATGTTTTCTGTTTAGCACTGCGATTTAATTGCGTACCACTTATTGCAGCAAAAGCAATGCAAGCGACCTCGTCCAGCAGTGGATTGACAAATAAGTGCAAAACGACCGTTTCCAAGGCATTTAACACCAATAATATTCTCCTCCATTTCTTTCGCGCAATGGCTCCATCACCCCGTCCAGGAGCCAAATGCCAGTGTCGAGGTCTGCTCGCCACGACGAGACGGCTTCGCGAGAGAGTGTTCGTGTCGTGTCGTTTTGCTGTTCCTCCTCCTCCTCCTGTTGAAGAAGAGCGGGCTACGACGGGTTCACGGAATGGCCCGCAGTTTGGTGTGCATGGCCACGATGGTCCTCCTGCGGCTTTTCTTTATTTTGTTTCCATTCACGAAGGAGATGCGCGCATTGGCCCGTTGACGTTACGATGCTGCGGTCGATGGTCCCGCCGTCGGTGCCTTCGAGTAAAATTCAACGCGATGTTTGGCTCTCGAAATGAGGTGTCTATTTTGAACGTTTGTTCCGCTCTGTCCACCAGCATTGTTCCGGATATGGGTGTTGTTGTTGTTGTTCACCACACATGCATTATAATGATGAATATGATATTCATTAATTTTATAAAGCACCATACATGCAAATTGCATCTCAAAAATGCGGTAGAATTTGTAATGGACACACAGATTTCGCGTAGAGGCTTGGGGAAACCCCCAAACGAGGGGGAAGGTAGCCAGAACCGGCGACAACAAATTGCCCAAGCTCTGTGGTCCTACATTGGGATGTTTGGCCAACCCCATTGATGAGAGTTTACACCGGAGTGCACAGAAAGAACCCACGCATTCATCACGCGCTTACAGATGCGATTCTGCGGCCGTCTGGAACGCTCTGCCTTCCAATATGAGGAGTCCACTGGAGCTGTGCACTTTGAAATATATTTTTGAAAAGGAATTCTTTAGAACTGCTCTTTGTGTTTAGTTTGTTGTCCTTCCCCCGCACCTCCGATGAGCACGGTTGGCTACGTACGGTGCGAATGAAGTTCAACATGCATGCATACATCTGAGGGTGGTAACACTCATCTCTGCACAGATAGCAATACATCAATTTTATGTCCTGCCATCATACCGTGGCAAGGCAAGAGAAGACAAACTTGATACCCAGAGGCAGGGAGTTTATCAAAAATTCGTTTGTGATCCACAATCCCTCTCCTCCACAGTGCTGGCTTACATGCATACTTCATCGGCGATGTAAATGCACAGCTATAGACGTATATATGCACACATCTATATTCACATTTTCAAAAAGCACCACATTACATGCAAACGTCCCAAGAAGCACTGTTGTCTAAGAGGCATCTTGAGGCTCTGCTATATTTTATTGGGTAAAGATTTATAAATTACAAGTATGGCGCACAGCATCATCCTATGATTGCTTTTGTGATAAGGTTTCCTTAGCCATTACAAAGCAAATCATTGAAAACCCACAATGCACCGCCTCCAAGGGCGCCCATAACCGACGGAAATTACATTCTCGATCACAATTATAATTGCCATTATCTTTGTTAAAAATAGACCGCCACTTCATCAATAATTTGTACATTTTTTCATCATTAAACCCATGCAGCTTTTGTGTGTGTGTGGAAAACTTAAAGATGGGGGTGGGGGGGGGATCAAGTCGGTGGCACGGACAGCCTTGATAACAAATCTACTTGCTGTGCTGCCACTAAGAGATCTCGCGTAACCCGCAAAGATTCCTTAAACTAAAATGTTTTTTTTCTGAAACACAAAGTACTTTGAACTTCTTTCGCACCGTACGCAGGCAACCGTGCCAATCGGAGTTGCGGGGGTAGGACAACAAACTAGACACAAAAATCAGTCCTGAATTATTTAGTTTTCGATCTAGATTTAAAAGTGCATAGCTCCACAGCGACTTCCTGATATCGGAAGGAAGCGTAAACGGTACCTAAGCCTGCACAAGTTCACCGCGACATTTGCTGGTTCGCAGATTATTATTATTATTTTTTAACTCGCACGTCGTAACGCTGCCCACTACCCCCCCCCCACTCTCAGACCAAACAATAACACTCGTTTGCTGATTGATCAATTAAACCTCCACATTTGCCGCTGAACTGCTGTATTTGCTAATTGGGGGATCAGTAACTGTAAGCCATCGCCCGGGTGCTAAAAGCAAATTGGTGTCATCTGTCAGGATGGTGCCCGCATCTATCACCTGTCCTGAGGTGTCTCCCCTGTTCAATCCAACATGCACGTTCACAGCTCCTCCCACACAGCCCAGCAAATCAAAGAATTGCATTCTCTTGGATTTATTGATTTTTGCCCATATCATTTATCTGACGAGTCCCACGCTGCTGATGAGACTGAGAAGGTTGAAACCGGTAAAGTCTTTGCTTGCTTCATGAAATGCTGCTTTGAGAATATTTGACTGCTATAAATTCGCATTTGATAAGCCACTTCGTTGAGCTATCAATTGCGGCCAGATCGCTTCTGAAAAAACATTTTTGTAGCACAGTGGGCCGTGTCTGGTAAAATAAAAAATAGTTTAGTTTTTAGCGATGATCCCCCCCTCAGTAACCCGACAGCCACCTCTTGAGAGTTTGCGTTTCTGAACATCGCGTACCGAAGCGCGTATCTCATGCGGCTATTTTCACCTCCTGACTCCGTTGAATTTTTAATCATTGTTACACACACACACAGATCCATCCCAGCTGGCACGGCGAATATGCTTCTTGTCTTCGCGACGAGAGAGGTGCAAGTTCACATCTTAGGAATCCTTGTCCAGTTGCAAGTCGGTAAAACGAGAAGTGCATGTTGAGATGCCACCCGTGGTTGTCTTGAGCCTGTAAGGCGACCACAGTTGGCATTTACGTTACGCCCACGATGTAACGAATGTCCCAGAGTGCAAATTTTAGCCTAGGGGCCACCCCCTGATGGCAGTGGGCCCTTGCGTGCCCCAAGGCGAACGCAACACAAGCCCGCAAGCCAAGCGCTTATGAGTCTGATCTTGGAAGCTAAGCGGCGTTGAGTCCAGTTGGTCCTTTGGATGAGAGACTTTGTGAGAATTCGGGGTTTGCGAGGTGGTCAACAGGAGATTATGGGATGGCAGTGGATTATAGCATCTATACGCGGAGAACTTTACGTCTTATACCCCCTTCGTACACGTGGGTTTGCTCCGAGTATCATATTTATTCCCACACACGCCAAACGCAAATGGGATTGGCCAAACAACACGATGCAGACCTCTCTTGAATTTTTTTAAATTAATATTGTTACTGTTTCCGGCCAGGGGAATATGGAATTTACATGCCTGGTTAAGAGCCCGAGTTTTTTAGTTGTTGTGGCGAGCTACGAATTTGGCGACCACGGTTCGATTTACCGCTCGCGGGCAACGTCGATGGCGAACAGTCCGAACCGCTCCCGGACGTGCCCTCGCTCGGCCTGAGCCTCACACGAACACCTATGTGTGGCGTGTGGACACCGGCGCTGGGGAGACAAAGGCGGCCGTGCGTGGTTCCAGCCCGACACGAGGGCCACGTTGGCTTGCAACAGGTGTGCTCGCTTCACAGCACTCCCCCCCCCCCTACCCTCCTCCCCCCCAATGTTCCCGCGAACGCCACAGGGTTGTTTTGGGGGGGGGGGGCAATCTTGTGTCTCCCCGCGTGTCCTCCTGCGCGTGTGCGTCAGGCCACGTGAAGATGGGCACGTGCGAGGTGGTGGAAGCCCACCGCTGCTGCAACAAGAACAAGATCGAGGAGCGATCGCAGACCGTCAAGTGCTCCTGCCTGCCGGGCCAGGTGGCCGGCACCACGCGCGCCCGGCCCTCCTGCGTCGAAGGTAAATCGGAAGAAAAAAATCCTTGGCCGTGGAGGCGACCGTTTTATTAACCGAAGGGCCCGGTTAAGAGGCGCAGGGCCCCTGCAATCGCCGGCTCGCGCCGTGGCTGGCTGGTGGAGCCCTCCACTCAAGAGCGGTGGGGGGTAGCTCGAGAGAAGAGTCGGGACTTCACAAGTTTTAGCGCCCACTCGCGCTGCGGTGCAGTCATTTTTATTTTGTTGTATAACCGCCGTTGTGTTCGCACAGCCGCGGCGGAGTTGTATAGGCGTTGGCGGCTAACGCCGGTGTAATCGTGTGACTGAGACGCGCCCCCAGCTTATTGCATTGAGGTGGTCAATAGGCGGCATGCCTGTGTAATATTCACAGCGCAAATCGTGACAAATCCCGTTTCGACGCAGTTGTAGCACAGCGAAGTAGGTCGTTCACCTGTCCTCTCTCCCTATACAGGGTGTTTCAAAAAAATGTTTCACACTTATATGGGACAATCGTTTTTTTATGGAAAAAGAACGGATAATACACTGTTACATGACAACAAATGTATGTTAAGAGCTTCAAAAAGTCACAGAGTCTACACTTGTTCTCCATCGTTGTCAACACATGCCTGGAATCTTCTCCAGGTGATCTTCAGAGACCGGAGGCAGCACATTTCTTGTGGTGTTGTTGCAAATTCTCGGAAGTGTCAACATTATTTTTTTAAGCACCCTGTATATATATTTAGTGTGATTATCGAGTGCGTGTTGGTTTTTATTTGGCACCAACTCTGGATTTCTCCCACATGTGAAACATTGCATATGTACATTTTAGAATCAATATCCGTCTAGAGTATTTGGCTGCTATAAATTTTCACTCGATAAGCCACTAAGTTGAGCTGTCATTTGTGGCCAGGTCACTTCTGAAAAAAAGCTGTATAGCTCAGTGGGCTTTACCTGTTAAAGTAAAATTAGTTTAGTTTAGTTTGAATTTCACGTAAAAGAGGGCCCCACAATGCGCCTCTCTCTTTGTCGCTCATGGATTAGACAGCCTGTCCCTGGGCTTCCAGTCTCATGCCTCTTCTACATGGCCCTGTTTATGGGATAAACCATGGAATACAAGACAATAGGCGTTATTGTTGTTATATGTCGAGTACTTCATCCACTGAATAAAGATCATCCTGGAATAAAGGTACCCCGTACATTAAGCATCACTGCCCATGTTCTCAACACTGCACCATCGACTCAACACTGTCCATTGACTCAACACTGCCCATAGACTCAACACTGCCCAAAGACTCAACACTGCCCATAGACTCTACACTGCCCATAGACTCCACACTGCCCATAGACTCAACACTGCCCATAGACTCAACACTGCCCATAGATTCAACACTGCCGATAGATTCAACACTGCCTATAGACTCCATACTGCCCACAGACTCAATACTGCCCATAGACTCAACACTGCCCATATATTCAACACTGCCCATAGACTCCACACTGCCCATAGACTCAACAATGCCCCTGTACATGAAGCAGTTCCCCCTCCTGAACCTCCATCCATTCCTCTCTTGAAGCCTCACCTTTTCTCCATCGTCTATTCTCTTCCTCTTCCCTCCCCTCGCCCCCCCCAATCCTTCCCGTCCCTCCCCTACCCTTTCGTGACCCCCTAAGTGCCCCTCTAGCACGGTCACCCAATCCTCAATACCTTGCAGCATGCCCCCTGCCATCAAAATCTTTCTATTTTATGACCGTTTTTTTTTTTAAACCCACGTCAAACGCCTCGAGTGAAGGCGCTCAACAAATATAAAATAAGATAAGACCCGGGTTCACTTTCGGTTTACGACAGACAACACCTGCGGCAGCTGGCATTCGACATACCTGAGTCGCCCCCCTCCTAGGTGATCTCACCCTGCGGTGAGTAACTGGCGTGCTTGAGCAAAGAGATCAGTTCTTGTGCGGGATTGAGATGGATTGTGGCTTCGCAGGACCACGAGGGATGATCGTGTGGGGGAGGCTTTTGACCAGGAACGCATAGACAGTTGCTGCTGATGATGGGGGTGATGCATTGTGGTCCACGTCTGCGCTGGGTAGACGAAGGTCACAGAAGCAAGACGGAGGGATAGCAGAGTGCTGGCGAGTCAAAGATAACCCGCATAGCCTTTAGCAGACTGTTGGGACAAGTGATGTTAGCGAACGCCTATGAAGGCCGGCACGGCACACGAGGGGGTGAGTGGTCAGCACCATGTAGTGGTGCTGACCACGATATTTACGCATTTCAGCAGGTACTCATTTGAAACTGAGTCATCCTAGGGGAGCCCCCGGACAATTTCAGATAATCGTCACTGGTGTTGGCCCTGAACGGGAATCGAAATCGTGTCGCCGGGTTTGTAGTGCGACGTGCTAACCGCTACATTACCTCTCCCCACACACACACTAACCTCTTAAATTAGTACTGCTCTGGCCTTACCAGTGAGTGCTTCCTCACAGTGGCGTCCCTAAGGGTAAGGATCTACATGTGTAGAGCGCTTGCTTAAATGCCTCAACCATGACATCTCACCTCAACCATTCCAGTCGCCTGCTGCGGTCTATACAAGGGCACCCCAAGCGGCAGCTGTCCCTGTGCGGCACAAGGTGGAAGCAGCACCGGCCTATCTGGGTATTGGTCTGCCAGTAGGGGGCTATTTATGTATGTTGAACTTTTTTCGCACCGTACGTAGCCAACCATGCTAATAGCCAACTGTGCTAATCGCCGCTATTGTGTCTTCCAGTTATGTAAAGGTTTTCTTCAGGGAGTGCTCGTGTGCGTTTGTGTGGGTGTGTGCTGCAGCGTCGATAGTCGTGCAGAAGTGGTGGTGTGAAATGAAGCCGTGCCTGGAGGGAGAAGAGTGCAAAGTTCTGCCCGACCGCACGGGGTGGACCTGCTCCAACGGCAACAAGGTCAAAACCACCAAGGTAACTGGGTCTGCCCGGGCACACAGCTTACCGATAAAAACAAACACGCGGTTAGGAAACTCAGTGGTTGGGGGGGGGGGGGGGGGCGGTCGGGCTTATAATGGCCGTGTCAGTAGACTGAGCCAGGAGCTAGAGAGATCCTGGGGCCCAGCAAGTGCTGGACCGTTGAGACCAGCTTGTGGGGGGCCCCTTGACCCTGGGATGTCCCTCGGTCCGTGGGTTTGGTCGCGTTTCAAACTGGTGACGCGCAGCTTGGCAGGCGGGTCTCGGTAACTCTCGCGAAGACGATCCAGTGGTCGACAAAACCCCTTCAGGATGACGTTGCCGCGGTCGTACCGTGGAGATATTTCGGACAAAAAAATTCGTTCAAGGAGTTTCCCAGAAGCTTGGCGACTAAAGCCCGGCGCTTGAAGGGACGAATCTTGTCGACCGGGTCGATGATGTCGCGCGTCGTGCGCTCACCTCCTCTACCCGATGACAACCACGACGTCACGCGTGACTGCACGTGTCGTGACACCTTCGATTGACACGGTTAGCTATGTACGGTGCGAAAGAAGTTCAGCGTACGTACGTGCGTGACAGCCCCTTGATGCTGACCTCGACGCAAACGGTTTCCTGACCTTAGCTTCACACGGATGCCTCGGCCTCGAATTCAGGAACCAGATGGAGTGGTCATGCGTTGGGTTTAACTCTCTCCAAGGGGACTCAGAATGGCCATGGTGCATCTTCACAGTAGGAAGAAGGGCCCTTTGTCCGACATGCTGAAAAGCAGCATATCATCGGACAAAAATCTCGTTTTCCTGCCCCTTACCAGAACAGTCCATTATTTTTGATTCACGATGGCCGTGCTCAAACCATTGAACCAGCATGGCTGAACCTTGGGGTCAAATCTAGTGAGTAATTCAACGTGAAACGATGTTCTCAAGCGTAGCGGTTTGACAGAGTCAGTCTGGTAACCTTTGGCTGAACAAAACGTTATCATGTTTGGTTTTACACTTGTTCCGGCACAGCGTGGCTCCAACAGCTGCATTTCATTTTGTCAGTCAACACGTGAACACTCTTTGCAGAACATATTGATCGCTTTCACCCGTAGTAGTAATCTCCGTGGTCAGGTGTGCTCAAGGGTTAGAGCAGTGAGATGGTACAACTCAGATCCCCACGTTTGAATCCACGTAGCCGGGCTCTCAAGTGTAGTGAGTTGATAGTCTCAGCCCGGTCACCAATGTCTGCACAATAAAAACGAACACGTTACATTTGATTTCAACTCCAATTTTTTTTGTTATTTTACCAGGCAAGACTCTGGTAAGCGACCAGGCCACAAATGATAGTGGCTTATCATCAAGTGGAAATGTATAGCAGCCAAATACTCTAAACACGCGTTGATTCTAAATGTGGAGGGAAAAACCGGAGGACCCGGAGGAAAATCCACGCGGCCACGGCGAGAAAATGCAAACTCCAAATATACAGGCGTCATGAGCAGAGTCGAACCCACGACCTCCCGTATACAAGGCGAGCGAGGGAGTTAACATCTTGCCACCGTGGCGTCCCTAATGATGATTTCATCATCTCAAGTATAGTGATTTCATCATCATTATCATCACTATCAACCATGATACATCTACTGCTGGATGACAACCTTCCGAAGGCTGCGGCACCTCTCATAATCCAGAAATGTAATAAAGACAAATATTCCCAGTGTAGCCTTTAACAGACTGTCGTGGCAAATGCTGTGAGCTAGCACCTATGAAGGCGGACACAGCACATGAGGAGGTGGGTGGCCAGCACCACAGCCGGCCACATTTAGTTTCCCGAGCAGTGATGTTTACACATCGCACCAAGTACTCATTTGAGGCTGATTCTACCTAGGGAATGCCCATGACCGCTTCAGAATAATCATTACTGGTGTTGGTGGCCGTGCAAAGAGTAGGTAATTGTGTGCTGGTATCATAGCCCAAATTTACCAATTAAGAAAATTACCTGCAAATTGCCCGATTAGGATTACACAGCAGCAATCATCACCCCACACTGGCAGACTAATGCCCACTTGTAGGCCAGGTGCTAAGTTGCGTTGTGCCCACAGTGACAGCTGCCACCAAGGATCCCCGATCAAATGTTTGAGATGAGTTTTGATGGAAGCTGTCTGAGGGATTTAGAGTGCTGTATCAATACAACGTCATCATTATCATTGTGCCTCTGGCATCAGGTCAGGAATTTTAGAAAATTCACTCTTGCCTACGCACAGTGATTATGACACGGGGGGGGGGGGGGGGGGGGGAGGGAGGACACACACACCATCACATGGGAGTTTGTATGTTGAACTTTTGGACCGCACGTTGCCCACCTTGCTAATCGGAGGTGTGGGGGAAGGACAACCAAACGCAACACAAAAAGCAGTTCTAAAGAAATGAGTTTTCAATCTAGATGATTTACAAGTGCGTAGCCCGCAGTGTCTTCCTAACATTGTAAGGAAGAGCGTTCCGGACGGCCGCAGAAGCACATCTGACAGCGCACGATGGGGTGACCGTCTTTATTCGATCGATGACTAGCCAAAATAAACGTAAACATATTCTTAGTTTTTTCGGTAAAGTCACGTTGAAGAGAAACAACAAAATAACAAAATATATATAAAACAATAAAAAATTCTCACGACGTTTCGACCATAACTCAAACGGTCATCATCAGGTGTGTCGGTTTGCATAAATTTATTTTGAAAACGGCATATTTATTTATATATATATATAAAAATAACGTTTGCGTCACGCGCAGCGATTGGCAGTTTGCCCAGGACTAGTCCATCTATTTTTTTGAAAAGAGGAGGGGGGAGACGAAATTTGTTTTTATGTATGCTGTCTGAAAGCCACTGTAAGCGTGAACAATCAATCAAGAACTGAAATGATTTATCAAATCTTTCCAATGATTGCTAAGATAGAATCCATCTTCTCGGTTGAAATTGTCTCTGTGTTTGTATATGTGGATAGCCTCATGAACGAATCTCTCATGGAAGCCAGATGGCTTACAAAGAACCTCCGTCTTAGAAAAGTCAATGGCATGTGAGCCTGCTGAATTAGAACAATGATCTGCTACGGCCGAGGTGTTGGTCCTACCGTGTTTAAGGTCTGCTTTATGTTCACGAATGCGGTCCGAGATATGGCGTTTGGTTTCTCCAATGTAACTACTACCACAGAGGCAACTTAGTTTGTAGACACCAGGGTATTGTATGTCCGGAATCACATCTTTTACAGACGGAACCAGATCACGGATTTTATGTAATGTGTTGAAACGGACCTGGATCTTGTGTTTATTCAAGATTTTGGAGATCTTTTTTGTGATCCCAGCAATGTAGGGTAAAGTGATGGTTTTGAAAGGCTCCTCAAGAGGGTTCTTCTTCATGGTTTGAGTGATAGCTTTGCGGATTGTATAGTCGGAGTAACCATTAGCCCTAAGAGCTTGGTGTACGTGCTTGAGTTCACTGCTTATGTGTTCCTGGTCGGATATGCATTGGGCACTATGATACAGAGTCTTGATGAGAGAATTCTTCTGTGATGGATGGTGGTGGGAATCCGGTTTCAGATAAGCATCCGTATGGGTAGCTTTCCTGTAGACAGAGTGGCTCATTGAACCATCAGGTCTCTTTTTAATTAGGACATCCAAAAAAGGTATCTTGCCATCTATTTCGACTTCCATGGTAAATCTGATGGCTGGGTGTATGGAATTGATGTGGTCGAAGAATTGGTCTAGAGCAGGCCGGCCATGTGGCCAGATGACAAAAGTGTCATCCACGTACCTCTTCCATAAGGTTGGGCGCAGAGTGGCAGTCTGGATGGCGTCAGTCTCAAATTTCTCCATGAAAATGCTGCCAGGCCACCAAGATTATACGGCTTACCAAAAATACATAAAGTTGATACACCTCTTCGTCCCATAGTCTCTACTATCAGCTCCCCCACCTACAAACTAGCTCGTTTTTTGTCTGAAATCCTGCGTCCTTTCACTGGAAAGACCACCTCTGCGGTACAAAATTCTACTCACCTGGTATCAACAATCAAGGGTATTTCCCTGTCCCCAGACGACCTGCTTGTCAGTTTTGATGTAGTTTCCTTATTCACCAAGGTTCCTGTACCTGACACCATTGCAATCATTGAAGACTTGGTTCATCAAGGACTAAACACTGAGGTACCCCCCCTGGTGAGACACTGTTTAACCAATACATACTTCACTTGGAATGGAACTTTCTACAAACAAACTGAGGGCACCCCAATGGGCTCCCCCCTTTCTCCAGTTATAGCTAACATTTTCATGGAGAAATTTGAGACTGACGCCATCCAGACTGCCACTCTGCGCCCAACCTTATGGAAGAGGTACGTGGATGACACTTTTGTCATCTGGCCACATGGCCGGCCTGCTCTAGACCAATTCTTCGACCACATCAATTCCATACACCCAGCCATCAGATTTACCATGGAAGTCGAAATAGATGGCAAGATACCTTTTTTGGATGTCCTAATTAAAAAGAGACCTGATGGTTCAATGAGCCACTCTGTCTACAGGAAAGCTACCCATACGGATGCTTATCTGAAACCGGATTCCCACCACCATCCATCACAGAAGAATTCTCTCATCAAGACTCTGTATCATAGAGCCCAATGCATATCCGACCAGGAACACATAAGCAGTGAACTCAAGCACGTACACCAAGCTCTTAGGGCTAATGGTTACTCCGACTATACAATCCGCAAAGCTATCACTCAAACCATGAAGAAGAACCCTCTTGAGGAGCCTTTCAAAACCATCACTTTACCCTACATTGCTGGGATCACAAAAAAGATCTCCAAAATCTTGAATAAACACAAGATCCAGGTCCGTTTCAACACATTACATAAAATCCGTGATCTGGTTCCGTTTGTAAAAGATGTGATTCCGGACATACAATACCCTGGTGTCTACAAACTAAGTTGCCTCTGTGGTAGTAGTTACATTGGAGAAACCAAACGCCATATCTCGGACCGCATTCGTGAACATAAAGCAGACCTTAAACACGGTAGGACCAACACCTCGGCCGTAGCAGATCATTGTTCTAATTCAGTAGGCTCACATGCCATTGACTTTTCTAAGACGGAGGTTCTTTGTAAGCCATCTGGCTTCCATGAGAGATTCGTTCATGAGGCTATCCACATATACAAACACAGAGACAATTTCAACCGAGAAGATGGATTCTATCTTAGCAATCATTGAAAAGATTTGATAAATCATTTCAGTTCTTGATTGATTGTTCACGCTTACAGTGGCTTTCAGACAGCATACATAAAAACAAATTTCGTCTCCCCCCTCCTCTTTTCCAAAAAAATAGATGGACTAGTCCTGGGCAAACTGCCAATCGCTGCGCGTGACGCAAACGTAATATTTTTTAATAAATAAATAAATACATATGCCGTTTTCAAAATAAATTTATGCAAACCGACACACCTGATGATGACCGTTTGAGTTATGGTCGAAACGTCGTGAGAATTTTTTATTGTTTTATATATATTTTGTTATTTTGTTGTTTCTCTTCAACGTGACTTTACCGAAAAAAATAAGAATATGAATTACTGCAGTCACGAAAGCTTTAAATCAAAATTTAAACGTAAACATGTGAAGCACACAGAGGGTGCTAGCTCGTGCACATGCTTGCTGGCAGGTGTCAGTGAGTGGCTTCTGAATGATGATGATGACAGAGGCGTAGTAACAACATTATCAGCTCAGGCGGTATGGTAATTGGTCAGGTTGGCCGCCAATATTTGATTTTCCGCAATTCGCTGAAGCCAAAGCTTACCGCTCTAATTAAATAGCAAAAAAAAGACGTGGAACGTAAATGAAAGCACTCTCGTAAAAAATAAATTTACACCGCGTTTTAAATAATTGTTCCGTTCTCTGACACTGCTGTTGAAAACGTATCTCATGGTGGCTGTCAAGGGGGCCTCAACTCGCAGCTTTGGCCACCAGGGTGAGGAGTGGCAAGGCACCTCCCCCCCCCCCCCACTACGCTCGTTACGCGACTGGATGATGACGAAGATGGGCCTTGTGAAAGGGGAACCACTTATGTATTACTCAACCTTTAATGAATGTGTTCAGGGAGCGGCTTGTCAAATTAGCGACGAATGCAATATGTCCTCAGCTGTACATACATTTCTGCCTAATGGGTTACAAGGCTTGGCAAGAGATTGAAAATTGTGAAGATAATTCCGCACGAAATGGATCATTTGCTCCTATCATGAAAGGCTAATGTTCAGGTTGATACAATATCGCCGAGTCTACTATTTCCGCCCCGTTGAAGAATCACATTTCGTGTGCACAACGTTTTGTGCCGGAACGCTTCCGCTAAGCAGTGCATGGGAAAATGTTTTTTTCGACGGAAGAAAGTGGAGAAAATGATTCACAGTTGTTTTTGTAACGTCGATCATGAATGTTAAAATGTATTTCGGGGGACTTCAATGCGAGAAATTTCAGTGATCTTTTAAAGTGCCCTAGTATTAAATTTTGATTTAAAGCTTTCGTGACTGCAGTGATTCATATTCTTGGTTCTTTCAGTAAAGTCACGTTGAAGGGAAACAATAAAATAATAAAATATATAAAACAATATATTTTATAACGGCAAGAACACTTCTTTCAAATGTTCTTGCCGTTGGTTTTCACACCTGATGATGACTGCTTGTGTTGCAGTCGAAACGTCGTGAGAATTTTATTATTTTATATATATTTTATTATTTTGTTGTTTCCCTTCAACGTGACTTTACCGAAAGAATCAAGAATATGCCCTAGTATTGTAAGAAAAATACCCAGGTGCCATAAGGATAAACGCTTTAATCAGTGTACATCACCTGCCGCGACATATGATGGATCAGAAACATGGACAATGATGAAGAACGTGGAACAAAAGCTGAAACGTGGACAAAGAAGCATGGAGAGGTGCATGATGGAATTGCACTTTCAGACAGAAAGAGGAGCACATTGGCAGAGCAGTGGCCAGGATATGCTTTATCCCTACCCTGGTACGCAGGAGGTCGTGGGTTCGATTCCGGACCCTGACGATGCCTGTTGTATATTTGGAGGCTGCGTGTTCTCTCTCGCAAGTGGTGGTCGGGTGGATTTTCCTCCGGGTTCCTCCGAGTTTGCCCACCCCCCCCCCCCCCCGCCAAGTTTAGGAATATGCGTCTAGATTATTTGGCTGCGACTATAAATCCCAAGGTGTGATGCTGTAAGCCACTTCGGTGAGCTATCATCATGTGTGGCCAGGTCACCTGTGAAAATGAACGACTTAGCTCAGTGGGCTTTACCTCGTGAATAATAAAACACAATTTAAGGACGTTTGCAAATCATGAATACCTAATGCAAGATGTTGTCACTCATCATCAGCCATGGTCAATCCACTGCTCAATGAAGGCTTCCCAAAGTCACTGACACCTCTAACTTTCCTGCGATGCAACAATCCACGTGCACGCGGACTGATCTCATCACTCCATCTCCTCGGTAGACAGACTTTCTGACGCATTCCATTTCTCTTGACAGCAATTTCATTATTATTATTCTTGACCTTTGGTCCCTTAGCGGCCGTGACCTTGTAAACAATTATTTTACGGTGTTTCAACTTTCGATGCAAGAACTTTAAAAAGGTTAACACTCGCTCTGGCACTGCCACTCACACAGAGAAAGAGAGAGTACAACGGTAAAGTTTTATTTGCGAAATAACATAGTCGTAAAAGCACACACACACACACAGACTCTCGGCGGTGTACAACCCCGGCGCGCTCTCGGATCAATAAATCCGGAGCTGAATGCTCGTTAGGGTGTTTTAACATGCGGACTGGTGGGCCTGTGGGTGTTTGTGAAAATTGGCCAGCTGCTCACGCGTGGGTTGAGGTCCACCGCCATGGTCCTGAGCTTTAATGACCGCCGATTTAATGACTAATAATTATCGGGCCTACAAGGGGAGAACGCGATGCTCTGGCCGGATCCGTGAGGCCCGGCAAGCTTTTTGTTCTGCCGAGCGCGTGAGAGATGGCATCGCACGTGCACGACTGTTTGGCCGTGACACCGGCGGTGCCGTGATCTCCGGAATAAGAGACACTCAGGTCGTCACGTGGGGACGCGTTTAACAATCAGCGGGCGCGTGCGGCGTGCAACGAGTTAATTTGTCATTTTAACGAGAGGAGTAAGTTGTGCCAACGGGAAAAGACGTAGCGTGCTGGGTCGAGAGGACTGGAGTTTGGGTAACCCTGCAGCAACTGGGTTATTGAACCTGGTCTGGGCCACCACTAGGTTAACTCAGCATAAAAATATTACATGGTGTACTGGTGAAGTTATGAACACCGGATAGAGTTGCCACGTGTCCTGGTTTAACGAGGCTCGTCGCGCTTATTGAGGCAGCCGTCCTGTCGGAAATCTGCGGGTCTTCCCGGCACAGTTGCGCGAGACATTCTTGTTCTTCCCATGATATGTCCCCGGTTATTTTGCACCGCAGAGGTGGTCACCTTGCCGACGTTGATACTGTGGAGAGAAATTCAGACTTGTGTGGCCTGCGCTTGTTCACACCATCCTTCATCTGCATTGCCGACCTTGATGTGTGCGCCCCAGCAGTACTTGCTAACGCTAACTGGTGTACATAATAGAGGGGGTTTGTTTTGGGTTAGATCGCGTAAATACAAATGTGTCGTCAAACCCGCCACCACCCGACACAGCCAACTAGTAAGGTATGTCACGTGAACAAGAAATGCCAAATCGTCAGTAGTTTTGCACACTGGTGTGTTGGAGAGTAAATCCACAACATTTACAATTTGAGTACGACGTTTCGCCGCTGATTACATATATAATGTACATTCATAATTTCGATTGAAAGCTTTCGTGACTGCAGGGATTCATATTCTTGGTTCTTTCGGTAAAGTCACGTGACTTTACCGAAAGAACCAAGAATATACATACATAATGTGCAGTGTGATGTACATAGATTATGTACAGTGTGATGTACATAGATTATGTACAGTACGTTGATTAACTCTGAATAACAAAACGAATAATAACTATCCATTGTAATTTATATGAACACATTAACCGCCCCCTCTGCTCTTTGCACCTGATTGGCTCACAAGCAACGACGTCACATTTATCGCTCTATTTAAGAGCGAAACAGGGGGATTTATCCACGACTCTGGCTGACGCCTGATGAGGCTGGTTGTAATTGTTTGACCCAAAAATGTTTTCACCCAAAAAAAAAAATCCTCTGTTTGCGGATCATATTTTATCGCGAAAGCCTCTACGTGTTAAACTGCCTAACTGGTGTCTTTTTTTTCCGTTTGCGTGTCACGTGTCTGTTTTCGTGTGCATGTACGTGCACAGGTTAGGACGTAGCCTATGTGAGTGGCCACGTAAGCTTCACGGTTCTACCCTCCGAAGAGAAGAGAAATAAAACAAAAAAAACACTACTTTCGCGGGAACGTTTCAAATTTTGCCCGGACGAAGATGACGACGACGAACACGACGACCACGACCCACGGATGGCCAGTGACGGCGGAGGAGACGATGCCAAAACCGGGGAAAAAACCACGGCGGCGGCGGCGGAGGAGATTCGATGAGAACAAAACGCCACGCGTGAGTAAAGCGACGGCATCGTTCGCTCTCCAGGCGAAGACTGCAACGTCGCCGTGGCTGCAAAAACACGGGGGCGGTTTTGCCACGTTGGGGTAACGGTGAGGGGTGAACGGAAGCGTTGGTTATGCACGCCACGCCGCTTCCTTTGAAGCGGATGGTTTTTATTCAACAGATGTGACTGACGTCAAAACTGAAGAGTGAAGCGGACAAGGCGGGGGGGGGGGGTAAAAACAGGGTGGGTGGTGGGGAGGGGAGCGAGAGAGAGAGAGGGAGAGAGAGACTCTTATAAAAATCCACGAGATAAAAAAAACCCCAACACAGTTGTTCCAAGCCTTACGGAGAGACAGAGAGAGAGAGAGAGGACAAAAAAAAAACTAAAATTGTGGAAAAAAATGTTGAAGTCAAAAGTGGCGTGTCATGATTTGCAAGTGTATTTATACTGATTTCACTCCGTTTCTTAGCTAAAGCCCAGGGACTCTTTCTTTATCCGGAGCCTGGCAATCGCGTAAACATGTATAAATTAATGTTCTTGTTTACGTTTTGTCTAGAGTGCACGGTATTGGCTCCAGACGATCCGCTCCGTCCGTTGCTCCTGCGCGCGTACCCGTCACTCCGTGAGCCGCTCAATTCTCTCACTTCCTAGGCTTTGCTTTCTCATTGCTCTCGCCACGGTTGAGGGGGGAGCAGGGGGGGGGGGGTAGGCGGCGGGGTGCGTAAAGGCAAAAGGTAAAGGCGCAGCCCTGCAATTGCTCGCTCAAGCCACTGCTGGCGAAAGGCGCCTCCTACTAGGGGCAGCTCTGGAAGAGCCACCTCGAAAAGCTATTTTGCCTTCTGCTCTTAGAGAGGCGTCGTGGGTAGAGGTGGGCGATTTAAGAACGTTGCGCCGTTGTTCCAACCGCCGCCGCCTGGAGATTGACTAGTACCCGCCACCTCTGCATTGCGAGCCACGGTTGTTTTTTGTCCCCACCCCGCACCTCCGATCAGCACGGTCGCCAACGCGCGGTGCGAAAGAAGCAGCTCAACGTACGCACGCGCAAGTGGTGCCGCCCGTCCGCACCGTGGCGGCTGCTGTTTCCTCTGCAAATTTTCAAACAACAGCCAAAAAAAAAAAAAGAACGTGAATATATATTTTTTTGGTTGTTGTGCGGTGCCGTCGCAGAACGACGGTCATCGACTGCCGACGTCACAGCCGCCCACGTGCCCGTCGCGTGCCCGTCACGTGCCCGTCGCGTGCCCGTCGAGCCGCAATCCAAATCCAAAGCCGCCCGCGACGTTTCGCCGGCGGCAGACGCCTGCCGTGGCACGGGCGCGGCCCGATTTTGGGCAGACTTTGAACGCCCTTCAAATGGGTTTCCTTACACTTCGTTCCAGAAGACCCGTCGCTTTGTTTTCGTTTTATGGTTTTGAATGTTTGGACGTGAAGCAGGACCGATGGGTTTTTGGCGAACTCGCGTTGACATTCGCTCACGTCCTGTTGGTTAGGTTATTTATTTTACTTATGTACAAACACAACTTTTAAAGGACCCTTTGAGATACAAACGATCATGGTGTGAGCCTGGGATACAGATTACGGTTCGTAGATTTCGTTTTTAAACCGTGTGGCTCTTCTCATGAGTAAAAACAAAATGCACACTTACATGAGACATGTAACAATTCATCGATTGAAATCAGTTCTTATGCTCACAATTCAAATATCGATTCGTTCATGTAAATATAGGTATTTTTAAAACTTCATTTGCAAAGCAAAATTACAGGCATATTTAATAGTCATGCCATTGTTATGGCGCAAAGACTATCGTCAAAGGCGCTGTGTTTCACACTGTCTGTGATAGTTTCACAGTAGGGGGAGGCGATGATTGCTGTGTGTATAATCCCAATTGAGCAACGTGCAGGTCAGGATTCAAATATTTGCAAATTTGGACCATGACGTCGGCAACACAATGGCGTCCTCCTCAGTGAATGATATCGTCTGTGTCTTTAACGTCTGCAATGAATTGGTAGGTGCGTATTTTATTGTTAACCAGGGCGGCCGTGCGGGTTTGAACTGCTATCTGCTGAAGCACAAACGGTCAAAAAACACCGCCGCTTAGCCGTCATTGCATTCAAGACAAACGATACTAATAAGACGGTAAAATTTGTAGATGAAAATTTATATTATTATACGATTCCAGAATTGAACATTGAGTCCAAATCGTGACAAAGTATTGCATCGCTGAATCGATACATGTCTGGTGATTGTATGTACATCGGTTATACGAGACATTACATCAGCTGTGCCACATGTTGAAGCATAACTGATCCATTTTATAACTGTGTATGAGTTAATGAGGCTTTGTAAAAGGAGACTATCTTCACTGAGCGTCCATTAATGTAACACTTCTACACAACTTACTTTGACAGGGTGTTAAGCGCTGAAAAATATTTTCCGGGCTGACACAGTGAGTCGCATGTATCGAGTTAGATTGACCCACGTGCAGTCACTAACATATCGTCATATTTTGGAGGAGATTGATACTTGTTTTTGGAGGGGATGTATTTAAAGTTATATTTTAATTGGCCTGGGTGGATGGTGGCGTTTTGTATTTACGTGTACGATGCGTTGAACTTCTTTCGCACCGTAAGTAGCCAACCGTGCTAATGCGAGGTGCGGGGGATGGGCAACAAACGAAACACAAAATGCAATCCTAGAGAAATGTGTTATCAATCTAAGGCAATGCTTTCAAGTAAGGCATTATTACAGACTTTGTTTTTGTTTTACCGAACTCTGATGGTAAATTGGAAACATTTCTCCAGTTTTCTCGCAATAAACCTTGCCCATCTGAACTCCACGACACCGACTAAAGAAGCACATTTACTACCCTTTATTTACACTTTTGGAAATGCTATTGTGTTTTAGTGGTTTGGTATATTTAATAAACGTTTATTTATCAGTTTGGTCATTGGAAACATACATATTATGGTAGAGTAGTGCTTAAGAAAAAAACTACAATTCCCTGTTGCTACATTTCTGTTCGAATATATATTTTGCCTATTATTAAATAAAGAAAATAAAACGTATTTCGGCTACACGGCTTCTTTAAATGTGTGAAATATTTTTTTATTTGTAAACACACGATCCATTTATATATCCTCAATGGATGTTGCAAAAGGGTTTAACCACTACAAAAACGGACACATTTTTTTGGGGTGTGCAAAGCGGTTTAGATGGAGTGGGGGTGGGGGCGTGGAAATGTCTAGGGTGAGGAGCGGGGGTTGAGGGTGGGTGCAGGTTGCGGTAATGATACCGTGCAGGATAATTTTGCTAAATGTGCCCGGGGATTTCCCACGTGACGTTCCCGTGAAACGAACCCAGGAACTACTTTGCTTTGAGGCACGCGTGTTAACCACTGCTCCGCCACCATGCCTGCCTTGGGAAGATACATCCCCCCACCTCTGCTACGGCCTCATCCTCACACAAAGACAAGATTCCCCCCCCCCCCCCCGTATAGCCTGTAACAGACTGTTGGGGAAAGTGCTTTTAGGGGTCACCTATGAAGTCCGGCACCGCACACGACCCGACTTAGTCTCCACAGTGGCGATGTTTACACACCGCACCAGGTCCTCATTTGAGGCTGAGTCGACCTAGGGAAGGCCCAGTACCGTTTCAGATACTCGTCACCGGTGATGGCCATGTGCGGAAATCGAACTCGCGCAGTGTGCTAACCGCGGCGCCCCCGCTCTCCACCACACACACACACGCTCAACACAAAGTAATTCAGGGGAGTTAAAAAAACAAACTCACTGGCTGTCGCCTGATGAAGCTAGCTGTAATCACTGGCGAAACGTCGTACTCAGATTGTAAATGTTGCGGATTTGCTGTCCAACACACCGGTGGGTGCAGTCCCAGTAACCAATTGCCATGTTTTGTTTTTGCGTGACAAACCTTACTAATTAGCTGTGTCGGGTGGTGGCGGGCTTAATGACACATTTATTTATTTGCGCCATCTAACTCGCAGTAGTCGCCTTCCCTTACCCCCATGCCTTCCTCTCAGACATTCCACGCAAACTCGTTCTGCCTGAGTCCAACAACAAAACAATAAAGTCGTGGATTGTTTCGTCTTCTGTGCACAAGAAGCCCCAACCCGCCCAACCACTCCCCACCAACCACCCAACCCCCCTTCAAAGAGCGTGAAGTAACCAACGTGATGCCTCTCACATCCCTGTGCCTCTGCGACGATTCAAGCAACTATCAAGGTGGATCCAATTGCAAAAAAGCGAGTTGTAATTACTGGCGAAACGTCGTACTCAGATTGTAAATGTTGTGGCTTTGCTCTCCAACACACCGGCGTGCTGTACTAGTATACTACACTATACACTACACTAATACACTAGTGCTGTACTAGTGACGAATTGGCCACGTTCTGTTTACGTGACAACCCTTACTAGTTGTCCGTGTCGGGTGGTGGCGGGTTTAACGACACATTTATATATATATATATTTACGCGATCTAACAAACAAAGAGCTGTTTTGGATGCTATTGGTCGCGAAAGCCTCGTGGTTCGGTGACATTTGGACGATTAAAGTGACTCCTGAAGTAGTTATGCAGTGTCAACCTCCAGGACCATTCCGACTTGACGTGCCGCACATCGGAGTTTGAGAAGGGCCGAGAGCGCATTTTGAGACACGCTTGGTGCAAACACCTAACACGGCAGTGTACGTTTAAATGTTAATTACTTGATTTATGGTTCCGTTGCTATAATAAAATATATATTTTTTACGTTGTTCAAATACAAAATGAATTAAAGCAGCGAAGCAAAGGGGGTGATAACACTTTT